GTGATAGAAAACGTCTCACAATCCTGGCACAGAGTCAGCAAACACGTTTATACGTCAGCAAAGACCACACAGCAAGGCATTGATACATACTAACACCTCTGTAGCCAAGAAGAGACAAAGCTTTAGAGGAAAAGATAATATTTCATTCAGAATAACAACGGCACACTAATAACACTAAATAAGACACTAAACAATTACACTAAACACTAATAAGGAAAATTGTCAAGTAGCTAGAGATCTAGAAGTAACTTTCTTGTCTGAGTGGGTGTTTAAAGTTGGTTGTATATTAGTAGAGTCCATAGACTTTAATATTGTGCAATTGTCATTTGGATAGATAATTAGAAGTACCTTTCTTGTGTAACTGATTATAGGTTATAGATAATATTGCGTACATTTATCCATTAGACTACGTTGGACCAAAGAAAATCATAACATAATGCACATCAGTGGAGAATCTATAGCAAGGGAATTCACAAATTATTTTCAAAGCAGTTCGCAATGAAGAGGACACAGGAATTGTACATTGAACATCTGATGGAACCAGAAGATGCTTAAAGAAGGCTCTTAGCATTTACTATTAAGATCTCAACGAAAAAATGTTTTGTCCTCAGACATTATTAACTTAATCTTGATATCCTATCTGTAATACTCAAATCAATTGTTTGACGAGATTCTAGCAACGCGTTGTTTAAATCCCCAACTCAGATATTTTCCAACCTACATTTATCCATACTATATTCTGTAATGTTTAACCTTATTGTGTGACGCAATTTTATTTATCAATAAAACTTTCTCTATTTATCAATTTATCTCTCATAATTGGACCTTAAACCCTATGTATGATCTTTAGAGCTGCAGGGATGTATAAATACAATCATTATCTAAAAATGAAAATATGTACAACATTACCTTTTAAAAATTATATCATTATAAATTATATCAATTATTTAAGATGGGGACACTACTAGGAGCGATTTTAACCAAAATATGAGTAAAGAATGACTAATGAGTTTAGGATGAGTGGCACGATCTTGTAGTCCTTAGTGACTAAGGCCGACATGTTCCTTAGAAGCTATTAATTAATAGCCCATACAGCCAATGGCAACTAAGGGACAACTAAACTAGGCAACTAATGCAAACTAACTTAAACTAGGCAAATTAGGGCAACTAATGGATCATAGTTTAGAGTGGAATCCGAACCACATTTTTGCCTTGTAATTAACGAATTGGTCTAATTATCTCGATGGCACTGTGGGTAGTCGTATTACTCACTAGTGCGGCCGTTAATCCACACCAGGGAGTACCGCATCCACAGCCCATACAGACATGATACGATCACCCTTATGGTGAAATAAAGGTGTAAACAGGGTAGTAAATAGAAGTCATAGATTTATTTATTATTTTGCTCATCACCTAAACTTGTTGTATGTTTTGTACATTATGCCTTTATTGCTAGCTGTTATCTCTTTTTGCGTGTTGTTTCTTGTTGCTTGTTGTTTCTCATTATTTAATTCTCTTTTATTCAATATCTAAGTTCCTGTTATTTTCTTGATATTTTTTTCTATTTTTCAATATCTAAATTATTGTTATCTTGTTAATATTGTATTCCCTGTTTTCAATATCAAAATAGTTCCTGTTATCTTCCAAGTTCCTGTTATCCTGTTAGAATGTTTACTTTTGTTATGGCCACTTAAGAGTTATCTATTGTTGTTTTTGTTGATTCTTGTAATGATCACTGTTCGTTTACTTTGTTATTTACACTGCCGCACCTTTGTTATGTGTTTTCTCTCTCAAGTAGTTTATTTTTGATACCTATCAATTGTTGCAGGTTTTTTTTCTTTTTCTCTTGTTAATTTTGTATTTTTTATTGCTCATGTTCCCGAGTTTTGCTTAATTCTTCTAATTTTGATTTCATCTCTGTTTGTTTTGCTCGAATATGCTACCTTAGAATTACTTTTGTTATTGCTTGCTTGCTAATGTACTGAATTGTAAAATGTATTGTTTGTAAAATGGTGTTTGCCGTTGAGAATAAATAAATAAAAGACACAGAGAAGGGTATGACAAGGTAATGTTGTCATTGGTACATTATCATCGATAATAACTGATTAATTCTCAAAAATAAACTTAAAAGGGTTTCTAATATGACATAATTTTGTTTATATAAATTTTTTTTCATAGTATTAATTATTAGATAATATTTCCCTCTTTAACCAAAACATTGGGCTCTTTTTTAATTCGTATAACATGAAAACTCATATCTAATTAGATTAAAATTAACCTGAATGAGATCACATTACTGTAAAAATATTATTACTTCCTCTAACATAATATTCATGTTATTATTATCATTAGAATAGGGGTTAAACTTAATTTAAGAAAGAAATTGTTAAAAGTGTAAGATATTGCAATTTCGTGTAGTTAAAACTATTGTAATTATTGAGGGAATTAAAAAGTTCATATTTAGGGTGATGATTATTGGAACAGTATTTTTTTTCGTAATAAACATTTTTATGAAATTTAACTTAACCACAATTGTTTACTACAGTGGCATGGTTAATTTTATATTTCGCAATCCCAGATGTTGCTAGTTTAAATATAGATTGAATTCACTGTTTAGAGTTTAGGAGTTTAGGCACCGTATAGCAATGGTTAGTGCGCCCAAATGTGTTTCTTATTGAAAAACATTTACACTTAATTAAACAGTATAAAATTAAATATTAAATTCTGTTAAAAAGATATAAAGGTTATAAAACTGTACGGGTTTAGTCCAAATTACAACTAATATCTGATCTATTCTGTTCAAGAATCTCAAACGTTTTCAATTAATTTCATTCCAATTATCTAATTGCATCGCTCTTAGCTACGAAATTAACCGTTTTAAACAGTTGTAAGGTACATAATAAATAAACAGATAAATGGTTATCAAGAACAATAAAAAACTCCAATGTAAAAATAATGTTTACCTTCTTTTTTAAGGCTTTCGGCCTAACACAGAATGTTGTTTATTTCTATAATTGACAGTAAATGATTTTTTTAACTTTCTTTTGGTGACATTAGGATTTAAGGAACACCTAACAAAATAATATTGCTGACATAAGTCTTAACTGTTCTTGTTGTAGGTGTTTTAAATGTATTTTAACCATTTGAATATTTTGATAGTAGAAACATATAAAACTAAACACTAAAGGGGAGACTGGACCTTTTATGTCTTAAAAAATTCAACTTTTGTTTTTCATGAAAACAATAAATAAACAAAGATAACTCTACATAGGTTTTCGCCCACACTATTCTTATGGCTTTGAAGTGTGTGTTGCAAAGCTTTAAGTGTGCTTTTCCGAAAGTTTTTTTTTAATCTTTAGGTACACATATTTTAAAAATAATAATACATAGAGATTTTAAACTTTGCATGCATAATTTTTGGTACTTTATGAGTACATTAAACCAAACTTCTGTTGATTAGTAATATTTTTTATATCCAAGATATTTTTTTATACTTTAAAATATGACATAAAAATTGATATTTTTTATAGTTGAAATATATTGTTCCCATATATTAAAAAAAAGGTGTTTAAGCATAAAGATATGGATCTGGATAATGGATGTACAAAATATCAGTATGATAGGTTCAGAGGATTTTCTGCTATATGTACTTATATTTATAGAGAATCTCCTTTTAAAAGCATTGAACGGGAAAAGGTACCGTCTCCCCCATATGCGATTTAACATAATGCCTATATTATTGTTTAAGCTGTATTGTATCGTTACATGTTAAGCCGGGATAAACTTGTTGAATTTTTTTTAATAGTTCCGTGGTCAAGCACCAAGACATCTTTGTCTGAGAGGAATATTATGATTGTATATACCAGTGAGCTTTGCTAGATAACTTAAAAATGCCAATACGATTTTCCAGTTTAAAACAATAAAAGTCAATCGTTTAAAAATTTGTATAAGAAAAATTAATGCTTATATACAAATATTGTTTGGTAAATTTTATCATTTATATAGCTTTTATTCTGAAATAGTTTAAGCTTTTCTACGTCCTTAAATACGATCTATTAACTCGTAAATGATTGCAAAGAAATAAATTAACAGATTTTAAACTAAAAGGAAACTTAATGGAATTTAAAAGGGGTGATTAGCACAAAATCTGTAAACTAACAGGATAGCTTTGATTATTCACGTAACATTATTTTATTGCAACAACAATATTCATATTTAATTGTAATGAGCAAACCCCATGTATACCCTTGAATTGTAATATACATGACTGGTTAAAAGCTCAAGGAATATTCATTCAAAGGTGATACAGAAACTCGCAAAATATATTTCACAAGTACAAGACATTAACGGAGAAATAGTGTAGGGATACAGAAATTTTACATTAATAGTACTAAGCATAGTATAAAGTGCTGTTATCATAATAGGTTTCTAAAAACAAATATTTTAGTTGCTAAGGATATAAAAGGAATGTAAAATAGTTTTATTTAAAAAATTTTAAGATTCACAAAGACAGGATTTTGTTTTAAATAAGAAGAAGTAGAAGAAGAGTTTGTAGTTCGCAAACCTCGTGACGCCACCGCCGCCACCGCCGTCCTGAGCTTGAGCTCCTCTCGCGGCGGCGGTCCGAGCTCCACTGAGGCCCAGCTCCTTCGCTCCCCCCACTTTCCATTTCATCGTTCAACCTATAGTGGCAATCTTCTCCGTCCCTATTGTGGCAGGATGACTGGAGATGACGAGAGAGAGAGACCAAGGAGGAGAGGAGAGAAGAGAGAGAGGCGCATGACAGAACTAGGGCAGTACTGCGGACCGTTGGGGGGGAGTTAGGAGGGAGGGGCAGTGTCCCTACCTCAAGAAAAAACCGAGTTTTCCCCTTCTAAATCACCGGGTCTTCGGCTCATTCCGCGGCCAGGAGTCGTGTGCCTCGCGTCAGAGGATGGAAAGGAAAAGTGTTCCAGGGGGTGTGTGGAGGGGGTAGAGTAACGGGACGTGCAGAGGGGGCAGGGTTCACTTGGTCAAGAAGAAATAAAAAACCGAATCGGATTAAAGAGTAAAAGTGGGAGGAGGGAGAGGGTAGGCTCGACGACCAGTATCCAGTAGTGTGCTGGGTTATGTGCGTTGACGTGGTTGTGGTAGATGGACGCGGTGGTGAAGTGCCAATGGAACTGAGTGCCAGTGACGAGTGTGCGTGACCAATACCCGGCCAGCTCCTACACAAGGTCAGCAAACAACAACAATACTTTGTTTAATAATAGGTTTCTTTACAATTAAAAATAATAAATGTTTGTAAGTGAACTTTAGATACAATTGTAACTAACCCCACGTGGTACGTGGCATGTCGAACATTTTTACAACATATTGTTCAAAAATCAAACATTTGTTCGGTAAGAAGTTTAATAGCAATATAATACATTTAAAAAATATCTGTCCTAAAATAAACCTTTTGTACATAAATGTATAGGATCAAAGTGAAATTTAAAATTTTAAAACATTATAAAATGAGTACAAACACGCAAGTAATCCTACATTTAACGGGCTCTTTGTCAGTTTAATAAATTGTTATCCGTTAGTGACCTGTTCAGTGCTTATAATAAAATATTACAGTTTCAAGGATGATACATTTTATGAAAGTGCTGGAAAAAGTTAAATTGTCACCGATGTTTAAAGTTGTATATTCATAAAAATTAGAAGAAGACTAAATAGCTTGAATAACTTAATGTTTAAAGTATTAAGACAATTTTAAAACAATCGAACAAATGATATAAACATGTAAATGTTTGATTCCCCGACATCCACTGATAAAAAACAGTGCTGTACAATATTTGTAAAAAAGTTAAGACGGCTTTTCTTAAAAAATATATAAAATTTTTTGAATAATTTATTATATAAATATCTCATAATAAATATTACATATAAATTTACCCTCTGATAATGCTTTGATAAAGATTGTTTTAAAATCATTTGTACTATATCGGAATCCCATCCCTTACGCACAAATGTATATCTTAATGCATAAACAACTTTTAACGAAAGTTTAGTTCTTAAAATCAAGTCAGATAGGCCTAAAATAGCATTTAAGTGATTGAATAATAAAAATAGACCCATTACAGTTTAACGGAAAAACCAAGAAATAATTTAAATGCCTGAACATTGATTTATATCACAGTTTTTCACCAAATTATATCCCTGTTAAAACTAATGTAAAAGACTGCTGTAACTTGAAATACTGTAAACACCGATTTCTTGCTTAACCGTTTGAATAAATTTAAATGTGTCAACGTTATTATTATAATAAACTTAAAATGTAATAACAATAGCTAAGAAGATATACCAACAGGTATTATTAACGTATAAAATGCGCCTCTATTCCCTGCAAAAAAACACATTTATTTCAATAGTTAAAGAATCAATAGTCAAGGGGTTTTTAATAATATGAATAAAATATTTGGACATAAAATGGATGGTTAAGTCATATTATTTTGAAATAAATAGGAGAAAACAAAAGTGCGTAAAAGTAAAGAATCCAAAATGTCGCCTAAAAAAAGTATCAACAAGAGACGAAAGTATTAAGTAGTTCTGTTAAATCTTACAATCAAAAATCTAAAATACATAATAAACCGTATTTATTTATTTCTGACGTTACGGAATAGAATGCATGTTTAAAACAATGTACAGACAACTATTTATATTAATTACTGTAATCTAAGTAAGGGTGGATTCCATCATATACTAATATGTAATATTTTCTTAAGTAAAACTCTTGTAAGAAATCACGCTTAATCAAGGTATTTTGACAAATATCACGGTAATGCTAAAATTATTGTGATTGAAATACGATATAGTTGACACGTTGCTTATGTAAAAATGTAATAAATAAAATAAATTACGAATAAAAACTCGACATTACAAAACACTGTAAACAATCTTAATAGAAGTTTTTATCCTCAAATATTGAATAAATTTACACGGGTTTGCTGAAATAAGTTTAAGAAAATTATAGAATAACATTTTTTTATAACTCAAATAGGCTAAGATTAAAAATGTTGTCAAATTAATCAATGGCTAGAAATATTCTAATTGTTTGCTATACAATTATTAATATTTTAACAAAAATACTTAGGGTGTATAAAATAAAGTAAATAAGGCTTTCGTTTTCTAAACGTGATAAACTTACATATATTAGTAAACGCTAACATTTGCATGTAGCTAAATTGGACTGAAATTCATTTACTTTTAAAATTTCTGTTCGTTTATCTTTTCTAGTAAGTTATCGCTTACACCTAAATAAAAATACATATTTCTTTATATTTGTAATTCAAAAGTAAATCTTCTAAAAAGGTATCGTATGTAACTTATCCTTTTACTCTATATAGCTTTAATACTTATATTAAAAATGTTTAACACTAGCTCTTTTAGTATGCCTGATGTAGAGTTGTTAAGGAAATGAAGCAAAATTAATCCACGGTATAATATTTTGGCACTACAATATTTAATTAAAATTTTTAATTAAACAGATTAATATTTTACCTTAGATCTACACACTATAAAGTTCTCTGAACCAATTTTAAGATTTCACTTCAACATACTGCAATACAAAAATGAAAACACCTATTCCCGTTACCGACAAACCGGGTTTGCTACAATTCACCACAAATGCATGCAAAATGCAAAATTCCCTTGCAAATCATATTCGAGTCAGCTGATCCGCTTTCCCGCCGTAAAAGCGTCTTCGTTTATGACTCCCGCTAAATTTGGGGACTCGTAAACATCCTTGTCCGTTGTACCCGGGTTTATGACAGTCACAATTATATCCCCTCCTCCACCTGTTCGGTTTATCGAGGGCCTGATACTGATTTACTGTCCGAATGTGGGTCGACGATTTGTAAACAATGGACGCATTTCAATGTTAGCTTAGTAATTCGAGTGACCGAAAGGTGTCGGTCGGTCCTTTGATCGAAAGTGACCCAACACCTTTGCCGTTCAGTGTTTAAATTGTATTGATATTTAGTATCATATATCAGTTTAGTAAAGGAAACAATTAAATTATCTAGTTTATTATATACTTTGAAGTAAGTTACGTATTTGTGACTATTTCAATCATGTATTCCAATAAACTTTGATAAATAATAAGGTACGATATATAATCTTATTGAATCCGTTTATATCACAACACGTCTTTATCCAAAATAGTATTATAATATTACTTTAGTTAAACCAAGAGAAAACTGGTAATAAGCGCAAGTTAAAACATATTGTGTCAAAAACTTAAAATGTGTTTACAATGAATATGTTATGTTATGAGATTATCATCTGAATAAAATGTAAATGTTCTTAGAAATATAAAATTTATTTAGCATCAATACTGGTTTTGAAATTAATATTTCGTGTTGTTAAATATTTCTAAACATTTTAATAAGAATACGCTAATGAGTAGGCCTATGTCAAGTTTGTAACGTATTTTTTAACAGTGAAACAATTTGACTTCGTACATCAGTTTACTTGAGCTTATGTGATAATCCTTCAAACAAAATTAGCAAACAAATTGATTTTCTATATGTGTATCATAATGCATTATGCAGCGTGTTCATTACATATGAAGAAAACATCTTTACCACTTGTTTTTTGTCATTCATTTTAAAATGTAATATTATTTGTCAAAATAGTTTAACTTTATTCCATTAACACGGAGGACCTTTAGTGTTAAAAGTTCTGAACTATTGAAGATGACGGGAAGTACTCTTGTTTCGGCATGATACATTATTCAATTACATTATTAGAAACAGGTGGCAATTTGAATATCAATTTATATATTTTGAAATCACCCGATTAAGCGTAGAATTCACGTATTAGTCCATATATTAAAATCACCTGCTGTTGAACCACATACATACTATTAGGCATATGAATATAATTTTGTTTTTTTAAGCCAAGAAGCAAAGAATTGAATATGCTTCAGACAAAAGATTATTGCATTTTAGAAATTAAGTTGTATACACGCAGAACATATATTTAACTTAAAATCACCGTAATATTTAATCATCACCAAAACCCATTACAAATATTATTAACATTATTATTAACAGTTAGAACTAACCAATACCAACACCCTATCCTGGGAACGAGGGCATGTAATATTTATTTACTAACTCAAGGGGAAATTAACCTTTTACTAATCATAGTTTCCAACGTCATGCAAAAGCTCCACAAGGTTTGTCTGCGGGTAAAGTTAGTTGATAATTGTAAATTCCAAAGTCTAAACTTCTCCAATAAACTGAATTTCACTTAACATTTTTTATTTTACAAGCTTCATAAATTGTGCCGTATGTATAAATGTAAAGTAATATCGGAAAACAATTTTAAGATAGCAATAAAATATATTTATATAATTATTATTGATTTAATACGAAAATTACCTTGTTACTTAATACTTTAAAGGAATAATGCTGTAGAAAGTAAAACGTTAAATCAAAACAAAAATTTTTAAAATCACATGTTTGGAACAACAAAAGCTCCAGTCTACGGAAGTCTCTAGATTGCCGTTTCAATTTTGAAGGCGCACGGAAATGAACGTTTCCGAACGGGACATCCAATACGTCATTCTCTTGAAGTCAATTCAGTAATTTAATTTTATTTTATTAAAGGATTTCCCAATGCTTTAATTTAATTTTGTTTCTGTTTAATTTTGAAGAAATTCATCAAGCTAGATCTAAATAGTATTGATACAAATATGTTTGTTTGTTCATTTTTATCGGTACTTTGAGTTGGTCAGTGCAGAGTTTTAATTAAATCTACATAGAATAGCTTGGCATTTATTGTTTTTCCTAATAGCAAATTTTAAATATTAAAGGAAATTTATACTGATTATCCTCCTGGGTGGTTACCTTGTGAGGAGTGGAATAAAAGGAGGGGCGACTTGGAAATTGTGACTTGGGGAGAAAACCAATTTAAAATACTAAAATCCAGGTGTCTATATCAGGCGAGTACCTTAAAAAACGCAGAAAACTCGCGAACAAAAATACAGTTTCCTTCTCAAAAGTAAACACAAAGATTTTATAGCATGAATTGACAAAACACAATCACATTTACTTCGGAACTATGTAATTAACCTATTAACTTAAAACTGTTAAAACGAAAGTGAAACCACTATATGGTATAAAATTAATACGATTACTAAAATTAAAGTACAAATGGTTTTTGTCTACTTTCATCAAAGTAAAAG